CTTGTTGTCTCGGATTCTCCAGCATCTGCAGTTCCTACTATCTCTGATTCGATTTTAACTCCAACTTTTCCTGCTTGTGTATGCTCTGTTCTGTTTGTTTGTGAATGCATTTGTCTTCTTACTTATCTCCCAATTTTAGCTAACACCTTATGCATACAAAAAATTGTAGTACTGCACTTTTTTAAAATTGCAATTATCTCTGAGCTGAGTTACATGCAGAATCTGACTACACTGTTTGTAGACATTGTTCTTAACCAAAATTCTTCTTGTTTTAGTTTTAAATTAATTTCTGAAATCTGAAGAAAACTTCCCTTCTTTATTTCTGAAGATTAAATGTAATTAGGGCAATCCATTCCACTAATTGATTGAAACTTTAATTGAAAATAGTCATACTCCTATCAACTTCAGCTCATTGTATCGTTAACATTAATCAAATTTTGCAAGGTCCTGCAACACCTGTAATATTTTAGATCTGGCCAGTACATATCAAAAAATACAACTCCAAAAAAAACTGTAGTTTCAGTGTTTTTCAGTAAAATGTTATCCCACATTCTAATCACTAGAATGGTTTATCTTTGCAAATTAGATTGAAGAGAAGATTTAAGTTTGAATGTTATCCAGAAGCAATTATATATTTGTACAATGGGTAATTTTATCTCCACTGAATTAGATAATGGGGCTTTTACTAAAGTAACCTTTAATGAATTTATTTCCAAAACTCTCACTGGCTGTAATCTGATGAACTATTTTGTTTCTCTGGGCTTTTCCAGGATTTATGGTTGAAGATATTTTTAAAAACTTATCTGTAAGTAGTTGTAAAGGCAAAAACCGTAGAGTGATAGATTGGCAACAGCTTTTCTCTAAAGAAAGAACTGGGTTTGTATTGCTGGTAGAATGTTTTGTGTAAGCTAACTGATTTTGCATGCTAATATGTAGATGTCAGTATCTATAAATATAGAATGATGTCCTAATAATTAGCAAACTAAAATGAACCTGAACCTGAGACATGATTTCACGAATGTGAGAACATAATGTAAGGGAGACAGTTTTCATTTCTTATGAGGTTGTGCTCATATTAAAGTTTCTGACCACGTTAAAGCTTGTCACATTAAGCTTTATTCATTACTATTGCTCTTAAAAAGAAATTGACATAATCTAAGGGTCTAGGCCCGAAACGTCAGCCTCTCTGCTCCTATGATGCTGCTTGGCCTGCTGTGTTCATCCAGCCCTGCAACTTGTTGTCTCGGATTCTCCAGTATCTGCAGTTCCTACTATCTCTGACATAATCTAATTTCAGTGTTTTTCATAAATAAAATGCCATCTCACATTCTAGAATGGTTTACCTTTGCAAATTAGGTTGAAGAGAATGTTTAAATTTGAATGTTATCCAGAAGCAATTATATAAATGTATGGTACAATGGGTACATAATTGGCAATGAATTTCATCATAGATATGTCTGAGGTGCTACATTTTGGTATGGTAATAAAATTTAGAATATCATTTTTGAGTTGGAAAGTAAAAATCCAAATAAGAGTAGAGGGGAAAAGGGATCTGACCATACCTCACCGGATGAGGGCGTCACTGGCTAGGCAGCATTTATTGCCCATCCCTAATTGCTCAGAGGGCAGATAAGAGTCAACCACATTGCTGTGGGTCTGGAGTCTCACGTGCGCCAAACGAAGAAATGACAACAGTTTCCTTCCCTGAAGGACATTAGTGAACTAGATGGGTTTTTTAAAAACAATTGACAATGATTTCGTGATCATCATTAGACTCCTAATTGGTCTGGACATTAATCTTGTTTGGGTCTCATTCTGCTTTGAATGGCTGGGAAATTAATTTGGTAGCATAGTTTCCAAACAGACCTCAGCATTTTCCTTTTCTTTTTCTTTTTTGTATTCTATCCATGCCAGTCTTCAGACAAAAATGGTCCCGTAACCAATTCCAAGCATTTGCTAATGCTCCTTCTACTTGATCTCCACCATTTCCTGTTTTAAAAGGGAAAAGAAGAATCTCCTGCTAGGTTGGTAGCGTCCATGGGTCATGGGTGAAATAAGCCCCTGATTTGGAGACCTATCTAATCAACCATTCCTATATCCTGTGGTACGGAATGTTCAAACTATGAAGTGCCACTATTCCATTGTAAATGCATATTCTTCACTAAAGGGAAAAGAACATCTCTGTAACACTGAATTGTCTCATTCAGGAAAATTTCATTTGCAATTCACATACAATTAGTTGCTTTGAAATATGGTGACAGTTATCTAGGCAAGTATGTTCCATGCAGCAAATTCCTGCAAACAGCAATAAGGTATATGATCAGTTTCCGATGGTAATGTTTGCAGTAGGAGTGCTGATGAAGTCACCATTACAACTTACTACCCCTCTTCATGTTTTGTGGAACTTCAATTCTGTAGAATTCAGTTTTTGTAGAACTTCCCTCTATTACTCCAAATGCAAAATCGTGAAAAATGCACTACAGGCTCCAGTTTCTTCTCTGCTTGCGAGAAATGGGCTAAATTGCCCACAGTGTCCAGGGATGTGCAAGTTAGGTGGACTAGCAAGGGGAATTGCAAGGCTATAGGGATGGGATAGGATGGTGAGGATGGGTGGATGCTTTTTGGAGGATCGGTGTGGAGTCGATGGGCTGAATGGCCTGCTTCGACAAAGTCAGGATTTATGATTCTGTGATCATGTGTTAAGTTGTGCATCATTGCTTAAACCCACAAATTTTGCCAACATAAGTTTTAATGCAGTCGCTACCTAGAAATACTTGATTTCAAAGTTCTATTTTCTTACATGCATACAGGTTCATTTCCAGTTTCTGTTTATTTAACCTAAAATGTTAATAGTACATTAAGTGCTGTCTGATTAAATCCTGGTTCACAGAAAATATACTCTTGTCTATGACTGATATTAAACTTTCTGCTATGTTGGGAAAGGATGTAATATAATTTAAGACAACCTTCAGTGTTTATCTGTTCTCTGCTGATTTTGTTTCAACTGGAAACAGATGGCACAGATCACCATTATTCTCCTTCGGAACCAGAAGAGGAAACCAACGAGGTTGAGAGACACAGAACAGGAATTCAGGAGACTCATTTGAAAGCTCAAACACAAACAGATCCTTCAAGAACAGAATACCTTGAGTTGAATGAGGTTATAAATACAGAACAAATGTGTAAGTGCAACTTGATTCTCACACTAATACAATGACAAAATACCGCAGATGCTGTGATTCTGAAATCAAAACAGAAAAAGCTGAAAATACTCAGTAGGTCATGCAGCTTCTGTGGAGAGAGAAACATTAACCTTTTGAGGTTGATGGCGGACTGCCAGAACTGAAAAATGTTACAGATAGAGTAAGAAATTCATAAAGATATACAGCACGAAAACAGACCCTTCGGCCCAACTCATCCATGCTGACTAGATATCCTAAATTAATCTAGTCCCATTTGCCAGTATTTGGCCCATATCCCTCTAAACCCTTCCAACGCCTATACCCATCCAGATTCCTTTTAAATGTTATAGTTGTACCAGCCTCCACCACTTCCTCTGGCAGCCCATTCCAAACACACGCTACATTCTGTGTGAAAAAGTTGCCCCTTAGGTCCCTTTTAAACCTTTCCCGTCTCAAGTTAAACCTAATTTTGGACTCCCCCACGCTAGGTAAAAGACATTGGCTATTTACCCTATCCATGCCCCTCATGATTTTATAAACTTCTGTAAGATCACCCCACAGCCTCCGATGCTCCAGAGAAAATAGCCCCAGTCTGTTCAGCCTCTCCCTATAGCTCAAACCCTTCAACCCTGGCAACATCATTGTGAATCTTTTCTGAACTCTTACAAGTTTCATAACATCCTTCCTGTAGCAGGGAGACCAGAATTGCACACAGTATTCCAGTAGTGGCCTAGCTAATGTCCTGTACTGCGCAACATGACCTCCTAACTCCTATACTCAATGCACTGACCAATAGAGGCAAGCATACCAAATGTCTTCTTCGTTATCCTAATTACCTGTGGCTCCACTTTCAAGGAACTATGAACCTGCACTCCAAGGCCTCTGTTTGCAACACTCCCCAGGACCTTACCATTAAGTGTATAAGTCCTGCCCTGATTTGCCTTTCCAAAATGCACCACCTCACATTTATCTAAATTAAACTCCATTGGCCATTACTTGGCCCCTTGGCCCATCTGATTAAGATCCCGTTGTACTATGAGGTAACCTTCTTCAATGTCTACTACACCTCCAATTTTGGCATCTGCAATCTTACTAACCGTACCTCCCATGTTCACATCCAAATGAAAAGCAGTGGACCCAGCACCAATCCTTGTGGCACACCATTGGTTACAGGCCTAACCTCCAATTTTAGGGTCATCTGCAAACTTACTAACCACACCTATGTTCACATCCAAATCATTTATATAAATGATGAAATGCTGTGGACTCAGCACCAATCCTTGTGACACACCGCTGGTCACAGGTGTCCAGGTATCCAGTTTGAAAAACAACCCTCCACCACCACCCACTGCCTTCTACCTCTGAGCCATTTCTGTATCCAAATCGCTACTTCTCCCCGTATCCTGTGTGATCCAACCTTGCTAACCAGTCTATCATGAGGAGCCTTGTCGAGTGCCTTAATGAAGTCCACATAGATCATGTGCACCATTCTGCCCTCATCAATCCTCTTTGTTACTCCTTCAAAAAACTCGATCAAGTTCGTGAAACATGATTACCCACACACAAAGCCATGTTGACCATATTATAGCAGTGGTTGCGATCTGAAATTGTTGAACTTTATGTTGCCGTCAGGCAATTGTAAAGTGTCTAATTAAAAATGGTGATGTGTCAAGCTCCCAATTGAATGTTAGTGGAGCAGCAGAGGAGGCTGAGGATCGAGTGGACGTGGGACAGAAAGTTAAAACAGCAAATGACAGGAAGCTTGAGGTCATAGTTACAGCCTTAATGGAGGTGCTCAGCAAAGCGATCACTCAATCAGTACTTAGCCTGTCAAATAACGAGGAGGCTGCATTGTGAGCAGTAAATAGCATGTACTAAATTGAAAACAAGTTACAATTAAATCACTGTTTTGTCAGGAAAGAGAGATTGGGGCTCACATGGTAGGAAGGGAAGAGCTGAAAAAGATATGCCACAGGAAGGGAAGTGGATGTTTTAATGTAATGGAGTGGACTAGAGTATTGTGGAGGCAGTGAATCCTGAAATGTGGGTGGATGGGGTTGAAGGTGTGCTTGGTGGTTACGTTAATATGCTTTAATATAGTATTGCATCAGAGGTGTTCATTTGCAAATTTTGTTTTTGCCATTTGTGCTAAAATTGCCAAAAGAAATCTCCTCTTGCTGCACTGTGTGATTAACTGTAAGGGTAAAGGGACTAATTTATTGATTGAATATGGATTTTATGTTACTTTCTCTCAACTACGAAGAAGTGCATCAGCTTCAAGCTCATTCTGGAAAATTGTAACAAAATCATGAAACAAATCCAGAAAAAAAATGCATTCTTGTAATAATCTCTCTTCCCAGCTCAGTTGGTGTCCTGTGAAACCAAACTCCGTGACCAATGCAAGGGAACAACGTGCAATAGGTGAGAAACTGAAAATCCCCATTTCCTATTGTAGTAAATAATGTCAACTTGATAAGTGATAGTCTGTTTTCAATTTATGCATTAGTTATCTTCGAAATACTTTCTAAGCTAGTTCCACTGCTGTCAATGGCCTTACAAAAAATGAATTTGTAGAATAGTAATTAAAAGAAGACTACTTGACATTTTACCTCGTATCAGTTTAAATCAATATTGACTAACACGTACAAGATTTGTATTTAGAAAATTATTTTTTGTATAATTTCTAATATATAAACCCAAATCGTGTGGAAATGTTTATTAGAATCAAAGCAAGTCACTAAGGATTTGAGATAACAATGTGTAGAGCTGGATGAACACAGCAGGCCAAGCAGCATCAGAGGAACAGAAGGCTGACATTTCGGGCCTAGACCCTTCTTCAGAAATGGGGGAAGGGAAGGGGGTTCTGAAATAAATAGGGAGAGAGGGGGAGGCGGATAGAAGATGGATAGAGGAGAAGATAGGTGGAGAGGAGACAGACAGGTCAAAGAGATGGGGATGGAGCCAGTAAAGGTGAGTGTAGGTGGGGAGTTAGGGAGGGGATAGGTCAAGGGGGCGTGATGAGGTTAGTAGGTAGGAGATGGGGGTGGGGCTTGAGATGGGAGGAGGGGATAGGTGGGAGGAAGGACAGGTTAGGGAGGTGGGGACGAGCTGGGCTGGTTTTGGGATGCGGTGGGGGAGGGGAGATTTTGAAACTTTGTAGATGTAATGTGATGTAGAATTTTTAGCTTTTTTACTTTATTTCTCTATTTTTGTCCTTAATCTAGTGCCTTAGATTTGAACCCAAGTGACATTGTACACTTTTGACTGTACTCCTATACTTTTTGCACTTGAGTACAAGTGACAATAAAACCTAATTCTAATTCTAACCTTTTGTCCTCTGCCATTTCTTTATTTCAGATATGAATGCCCAGCTGGTTGTTTGTACAGTAAGGGGAAAGTCATTGGAACATTGCATTATGAAATGGTGAGTAATAGAAGATGGTGAAATGTCCTCAATCTTGTCAGTTATGTACTTAAAACATTGTGAAAGTTACTCGATCCTCCTGCAAAAGATGATTTTCATTGCAGTATATCTGCATTCATGCAGAACATACGATAAAATGTCACAGCATGTCATTTCATTTGCCAAATTTACAAATCTGTTGAGTGCTTCCAGTGATTTTTGTTTGTATTTAAAATTAATATCAGTTCAATTGATTTTATAAACAATTTATTTAATCTTAAATTCTCTATGGTTAAATTTTCCTTGTGGTTTTTTAATGTCGAAAGATATTGAGGGAGAAATTCACTTCATGGCCACCTGTTTTATTGGTAAGAATAAATATCCACATTTTATGTTGTTTTCTGCTGAGCCCAAGCCACACTGAATGTCATTTTGATTTGGAAAGTTTTTAATGATTCTGAAACAAGTGCAGTTAAGTCTTTATTTTATATGTTGACAAGCTGAACGCATTATTTTCCAACTTAAATCATGTTCATCAATATATACTCTTCCCATTGAACAACATCAAAAAGGGACTCAAAGTAGGGCCTTTTCTTTTCCCTTTCTGTAATCTAACCTGTTAAATATGATCAACCAAGAAAGAGCAAAAGGACAATGATGGTTGTTAGTAACAATGGTTCTCAGCAACAGAGCCCCCATTCTCATGTGGAGAATAAGATGGGGAGAGTACAGTGAGGAAAAAGGACAGTAGGATGACCAAGCACTTTGCAGAATATATAATTGCAATATAATAGTCAGCATGACATTCCAAAGTGAAATTTTGCTTAACCAACTTTATTGAATTTTTGAGGAGGTGATGGAGAGAGTAAACAACAGTCATGCAGCAATCGAAATGTATCTGTATATTCAATAAGGTGCCTCATAACAGACTGATCAAGAGTGCCAGACCGTGTGAAATCAGGTGATAAGTGACAGAATAGATTTCCAGAGATAGTAAGAACTGCCAAAGCTGGAGTCTGAGATAATGCAGTGTAGAGCTGGAGGAACACAGCAGGCCAGGCAGCATCAGAGGAGCAGGAAAGCTGACGTTTCGGGTCAGGACCCTTCTTCAGAAATCTGAAAAAGTTTTCAATTTGAGATATCACAAGATTGGGGAGCAAATGTAGGTCAGTGAGGGTGGGGACAATGGGTGGATGGGACCTCAGTGTGAGATAAGGACAACAGAACTTTGGACAGAGTAGGTTTTGAGAGTAGGGTGTGGATAAATAATGGAAGGCCAATTCAAAGAACAATGAATAGTTGAGTGAGGACAAGGATAGAGAGGTAAACGATGCTAGTTTCTTTTCTCAATTTAGGATGTGACTATTGCTATCTAGGCAGCATTTAT